CACCATTGAGGATTCCAGCCCCTCAAACTCCTCCCATTTTTACCAATTTCCATGATGGGAATTAGCATGAACTCGATGGTCCAACACCCATATCTCTCTTTGTTTTTAATCCCATTGAAATTACAAACCAGATAAACCCTTTACTTTCAAACTAGTGATTGATGAGAATTGACAACTTTGGGATGCTTTCCCATTAAGAATAATTAAGATCATCATCATGCACATATAATAATGGGATTAGGGTTTGTATTTGGCTTCGGGGAAGGGCTAATGACTGTGGACAGGGAGGCAGAGCCAGCAGTGTTGATTGGGCAATGTGGATGAAGGCGATTGGTTACTTAGAACAGTTCAGTCTCTCACACATTTCATCCCTTTCGCTTTCTTCCTTTCCCCAAAACGCCAAAGAAAACAGAAACAAAGAATTGTTCCATCTCACTTTGGGCAGTTTGGCAGAGCAGAAAAAGGTTGTGTCAGGCTCAGTGATAACCTTGGGAGGTAGCAGCAGAGTGACCTTGAGTTCGGATGTCAAAAGGCTTCTGAATCTCAAAGGCTGGAGTTAGGCAGGATTTGGATGACGGTTTCGGTATGATTTGTTGTTGATCTCGATTATTTATGTATTCGTTTTATTCTATTTATGAGTAGGAATTTGGAAGAAATAGATGCGGGAGTCTTTTATCTCTCTTGCTAATGTGAGTTGTGACCTTGTTGTTCTAAACATGCTAGCACATATATGACATTTTTTTTAATACTTTGACCTTTCAATGATTTGCGTTTAAACTCTAACTTAGCTTCTATATTGACGTGGGGCTTAGTCACTCGCTCAAACGACTCGATTTCATAAGCAACCCTCCATCCCTTTCCCTTCTCGATTCACCAATGTAGTTGCGGCAATTTTTTTCTCAGGTGAGGATTGAGTGATTTTATTCTGATAACAATCAATTTTATCGAATTATGCATCATGGTTGAACTATCAATCCTCGTAGAAACAGATAACTCGACCTAATCATCGTTCCTGTTATGAAATATACATATACAAGAATCGAAAATACTTATGGTCGCGATTCCATTGGCGTCATCTTCACTTATTGAAATTAAAGTAGAAACCACAACTAAAGGTGAGTGCACTCCCCTCCCCCTACTACATCCTACCCAAGCCACATACCTAACTTCCATAATTGAAACTATAATAATTAACTTATTTCAAGTAAACCTAGATAGTTAAACAAACCCCAAATGAGTCAAAAAGGGGTTTTCTTTTTGCCAGGTTTGTGGGTGATTTTATTCCAGTTTAACAATCAATTTTAACTCTGTTGGATAATTACTCAATAGACTTGTGGGTGATCCACTAGAATTGAAGCAAAATAAAAACCATATATTTGAGGATGGAAATCAAATCCAATTTTACTTGGATTGAGCAACCAACCTTGCTTTCCTTCTTTTTCCTAAACTTGAGCTTTCAAATGTCCTACTTATACATCACAAAGAAAATAACAATAACAATACATATTTGCTTTTTGGGTGGGGGCTTTGATCTAAAATTATACTAATACAACTGGGGATTTCTTTTCCTATTTATGGTTTTTTTTTATTTGCCAATCGATCACTCTTAAAAAGAGGAAAGTCCACGATCCCAGATTACAAAGAACCTATCGACTATTGAACCATAAAACATAATCAAACCCCCTATGAAAGCGAGGTGACAACAACAGAGCATGACGAGCCACTGAATGAGCCACTCTGTTTCTAGTACGACCTACAAAATGAACTTGAAATCCAGGAGATTCTTCCAAAATAGAGCAAATTTCTTGAAGGATTGATCCTGCCCTTGCATCTGACACATCCCGATTCCGACACTTATCAATCAAGACCTTTGCATCACCGCCAATATTGATGGATTGAAACTGGCGCCGAAGACAATCACGCAGACAATCCCGGAGAGCCAAGGCTTCAACTATGAAAGGATCCCAAATCCCGGGATAATGATTAACCGAAGTAGCAAGGAGACCTCCTGAATCATCCAACCAAACAGCAGCCGCAATACCACCTGAGCCCACCTTAATTGCAGCATCAAACTTTGCCGAACAATGAATTGGAGACCCTGCAGGAAAATGAAAGCTATTGGGAAGTGAAGGCTGAGGCCTAGGTTGGAGCAGAGCTTTGTCCGATTCATCAACTTGATGACGCCATTGGGAAGCTGATAAACCCATAAAAAGATCTAGTATCCCATTGGCGAAGACGATGCTCCAAACCAACCAAACGCCAAAACTTCCTAGCAAACGAACAGGTGAAAAAAAGATGCTCGATTGTCTCTTCTTTCCGTCCACAAACCGGGCAGATAGGGAGCAGATCCACACCCCGAATAAATAATGCTTCCCTAGTTGGCAAAATGCGAAGAAGGCATTGCCACAGAAAGAAATGTAACTTCGGAGGAAGAACCCTGCTCCAAACCCACTTCCAAATTGATTGATCCAAAAGGGACGCACCAAGCTTTCGCACAGGAGAATCGAGTAAGGAAAAAGCAAGATGATAAGCAGACTTCACAGAGAAATCCCCAGAAGTCTCGTAATGCCAAATAACTCGATCCCGAACTGAGCGAAAAGATAAAGGAATGGACTGAATATCTACAATAGACTCAGGCGAGAAAAAATGTTCCAAAGCTCTTTGGTTCCACAATTTAGTGCCAGGATCAATAAGAGCAGAAACATAAATAGGAGGAGGGATACTTCCTGCTTTCGGCTTGGGGACAGATGGTGGAGAAGAAGGTATCCAAGGATCGCTGAAAGCTCTGATAGAATCCCCTGCGCCAACTTGCCACCTTAAACCCTGAAGAAGAAGATCTCTGCCAAAAAGAATGCTACGCCATCCCCAGGAGGCAGACCCTCTCGCCGAAATAGAGAGAAAATCTGAACCAAATGAATACCGAGCACGATAAATTCGAGCTAGAAGAGAATTAGGTTCTTGGAGAATTCGCCACGCCACTTTAGCCAGAAGAGCTTGATTAAAACAACCAAACTCTCGAAAACCTAGTCCCCCTTCAAACTTACTAGCACATAAGCCTCTCCAAGAACGCCAATGAATGCGACGATGAGTCTGAGTAGCTCCCCACCAAAACCTTGCCATATGTACATTTAATCTACGAATAAGTTCAGAAGGGAGGCGAAAACAAGACATTACATAAATCGGAAGGGCCGAGGCTATTGTTTTCAGAAGTACTTCCTTCCCAGCTGCGGATAAGGCCCGCTGTTTCCACCCATGAAGAACCTCTAACAACCTCTCCTCCACAAACCGAAAAGTGTCAACCTTGGATTGACCTATAAGCGAAGGCAACCCCAGGTACTTATCCTGCAATCCAAAAGAACCCACCCCCAGAACTGTGCTTAACTCCTCCTGATCCGGCTGAAGAAGATTAGGGCTAAAAAAGGCTGCTGACTTCTGCAGATTTACTCGCTGACCACTTAAAGATTCATACTCATGAAGTAATTGAATCAAAGCAGAGCAATCCCTCCTTGAAGCCCTCAAGAACAAATAAGAATCATCAGCAAATAAAAGATGAGAAATAGGAGGACAAGAATGGTGAATCCTAATTCTATGAATCTCATGCCGATGAATCGCTTGTTTAATCAAAGCAGTAAAACCTTCTGTACAAAGGGCAAATAACAAAGGGGAGAGAGGATCACCCTGACGGATACCACGAGTAGACTTAAAATAACCAGAAGGCTGCCCATTCATCATCACTGAAAAGGACGCAGTAGTAACACATTCACGGATCCACCCAATCCATTGAGGAGCAAAACCCAATCTAGTAAGCAGAGCAAACAAATAAGGCCACTCGATCCTGTCATAAGCTTTCTCCATGTCCAGTTTTAACGCCATAAATTTCTCCCTCCCTTGACGTTTATTCTTCACAAAATGAGTGACTTCATGAGCAATTAGAACGTTATCAACAATTTGACGGTCCCGAACAAAACCATTCTGCTCTTCTGAGACCAAAGAAGGTAGCAAAGATCCTAACCTATTGGCAATAATCTTAGTGATTACTTTGTATAGAAACTGACAGAGACTAATAGGCCGCAGTTGAGAAACACGTTCTACCACCTCTACTTTTGGAATTAAAGTTAACCACGTGTGATTGAAGTTACGTAGTAACTTACCACGAACAAAGAAAGAAGAGATAGCCTTGATAACACTATCACCCACAATATGCCAAAAAGACTTGAAAAAGTTTCCTGTAAACCAAATAATGGGCTTAATTGCCCTCTTTTAATGATCCACCACAAAAGCTGTTGGTGGGGCCCATGGGGCCTGCAGTTGAAGGCCCCCACCCAACTCAGGCCCATTAAATTGTTTCATTGTGATTCTTTACTTATTCTGGACCAACTAATTAAAGTCTTAAAAGTCTGTATTAACTATTAATTAAGAAGATCACAGGCAAGTAAAATTAATGGGAAAATGTAAAAAGTAAATTATTTGTGGCTGCTGGGATTCGAGCCCAGGTCTTCACGGCCACAACGTGAAATTCTTACCACTAAACTACAGCCACATAATTGTGTGCTTGCTCCTTAAAAGCTTTATTTAAATGTTCAAGTGAGTATTAGAGGGGCTATGACAAAAATACAAGAAAGTCGTTATCGAACAATAATAAAAATATACTAGATAATTCACCGATATGTGGTTGAACTATTACAAGGTGACATCACAATCATTAAGGTCGGCAACGGTATTTTAAACACTAAGCTTACCATGCTAGTCTTACATTCTCACTAGATCAGCTTTTTTATAGGTGGATCTTAAAGTAGGATCTTAAATTTAAATATGGTGGAGAAGGTAGATCATATTACCTATATGTAATCCGATACTAATTCGCATTAGCTAAAACCTTTCTCTCATTCTAAATCGTACAAAATAAAATGTGTCTCTAATCTCCCAGTTCAAAATTGTAAAAAATTTAATTCCAATTTTAAATTTCATATCATACTGAACCATATATATCTCTACTCACCATTTAGAATCATCTCACTCGTCAATCGTCATATAAGATCAAACACAAACTTTCTTTATGTTACAATCATGACTCACCAAACATTCATATTACCACCTGAAACTCGTCGTGAACCATTGGAAATAGCTTTCCCAAGTAATGATCATGGTCAAATCAAGCTCAAGGCTGTCATGGAATCTGAGTAGGAACTCGAGCTTACGACCATTCCATTTCCCAACCCATAACATCAAATCAAATCAAATCAAATCACAAAAACCCACCTCTACCGTCCAAAACAAAGAAAACTACAACAAAAGGTGAATCCACTTGGATCATATCAATGATAACCAGCAGCAACAACTCATCTTCACCTCTGTGATTGGTTGATTCCCTTTTAATCATTCCCCACTTAACACTTATCAACCTCACATAGTTGGCAAAGTCAGGAAACTATCATTGTCACAAAAAAAGATCAGTCGAGCAACTTGTGCGGCAAGGCAACAAGTTGCCACCTTTTTCTCTCCCAATTTGGGCAGCTTTCAACAAAAAAGCATTATTCAAGATCCTAGAGGGATAAATTTTATGTGCAGAAGAATTGCAGATGAGTAGGTGATCCGAAGAACGTATCGATAGACTAACCCTGTACATAACTAGGCTACTTGACTGGTTTTTCTCACTTCCGGGCAGAGTGGTAAAGCTCCATGTAGTCTAGAGCGGGCTTATTCCACGACCAGTCTTGCTCCATCACGGTTTTACATAACGAGTTAAACCAGTCTCGGCCATCGTACCAAGCAGATATCGCCCTGACATTGTCGAACATAAAACACATGGACTGGTTAGATGCATGGAATCTGGTGAAAATGTGGTGTGAAATCTATGAACTCACCTGTTTAGTGCATAGTCAACCCCAGAAGCATCAGCTCCTTCAAAGCTGAACCCATTCGGTTCGATCCCTTGTGCTTGTGCTCTTTCTTTATCATGGTCAACGTCGAACACAGTGTCGTAGAGGCCTCCGGTCTTTCGGACAACAGGTACTGAGCCGTATCTCATGGCTGTGAGCTGTGTCAGCCCACATGGCTCGAATATTGACGGAACCAAGATGAAATCCGCTCCAGCATAGATCTAGAGGAAGAAGAGGGGGCAATTAATATGCATGGTCTTAGCGTTTGATGATTCATCAAGTTTTCATTAATGCATTACCAAGTGTGAGAGTGGCTCATCGTAGGTCAAACAAAGGCGGGCACGGGTTCCATGGGTCGAATGCAGTTGATTGGCGAGATTTACAAAATCGTTCTGTATCCGTGGATCTGGAGCTGACCCAAGTAACACAACCTGTCCATTTCGTTCTAAGGTGCGCCAAATGGCATGCTTGATGAGATGGATTCCTTTCTGCTGTGTTAAACGGGTAATGATGCCGACTAGAGGGAAATCAGCCTTTTTCAGACCAAGCCTCTCTTGCAGAGCTTCCTTGGCTGCTCTTTTGCCTTCGACGACATTCTCAGAAGTGTAATGTACCTGGAGATTAAAATGAACGACATCCATTAGAAAATGTTTGACAAAAATCTCCAGGAATGCATAGGTTTGAGTGGTCAGGCAAGTTTCCATCTTGATAACAGAAGTCTGTGCAGCAAACTAGCAACATCTTGATAAGGATAGTACTAAAGCAACTTACAGGAAGGAACTGATCATTGTAAGGGTCCCATATATCTGGGTCGATTCCATTTAGTATACCATGGAACTTGTATAGATGAGGAGCAATTGCACCGTTCCCTGCAACCTCCTTTGCATATGTAGGGGATACCTGCTCGTATTTCCAATAATAATGTCAAAACACAGAAGGTTTAATGACTAAAACCTTCAACCACTGTATTTACGGAATTCAACCACGTGAAAGACTTTAATGACTAAAAACTTCAATTGATCATGTCCATGAGCCAGCGGAAACTATCTCAGAGATACATCTCAGACAGACATAGCAAATGTTGCTATGGCAAGTAAAAGTTTCAATCTTTGCCATTACTTCTTGTTCTTCAGCTCATAATTTGCATGGCATTGATGTTCTAATGTCTAGTAAAACTTCTTCATACATATAGAAAATGGCTACCAGATGAATTACAGAGGGAGAACATTCAGGAGCTTTGGGCGGTTAATGAGAATGATGATGGTTTATGCCAAGTTGTCAGCAGAAACAAACCCGAGAATCAAACCTACCATTATTATTCTCATTGACCATGAAAAGAACTTGAATTTTGTTCTTTTAAGCCTAAATAGTGAATAAGAATAACACAAAAAGATATGTACTTAATAAAGATGGCTGCAGTAACTCACAGTTGTAGCCTTGTCCGAGAAGGCCATTGCTTTGCTAATGTTTTGCGCCCCAAATTCAAGGTTGTGAATAGTAAATACAATTCGAGCTTTGCTCAGACCATAGTGCACGTAATGGTTCTTGAACAACCATGCAACTGGAGCACTAGACCAATCATGACAGTGGATAATATCCTGCACATAAAAATGCCTTAACACGCATAATGCATATGATAAAGAGATGAGTACATTAATTACACAAAATGCCGCAAGCCTGCCAGGTAATGGATCTTACAGGATGAGATCCACTTTGATGCAAGAACTCAAGAGCTGCATGGCAAAAGAAACCAAATCTCTCTCCATCATTTCGGCAGCCATATATACACCCTGCCCAAAACATACTGTGGGAGGAAAAAAGTGAGAGAGAAGATAATAAGCAGCAGCATATGGCGGATCACTTGGATAGACCAATTTGTGGCACAGAATTAGGCATAATTATTTTACCCGTTCTGAGGCTCCAAAAAGTAGACAGACAGGCCTTCCACTTTCCCGAGCCAGACTTTTATTTCAGTACCTCCCCATGAATAGCTTCGGTTATACTGAAGGTCTTGCACCTTTGTCCCGAAAAACACATGCAGTTTGATAGAGCTAAACTCATCAGAAATATCCAAAAAGCATAATGCTTTTCTGTCTAAACTAATACAGACAAATATTCCAATGTTTTCATATAAATGAACATGTAAGAGACAACATAACCGAATGCCAGATGCTAAGTTTGCTCTATCCATAAGATTCAAGTCCAAACTAAGTACTAGACGAACATAAATCTGGATGCAAAAGCAAATGAAGCTTACATGATTAAGTTTCAAGCAGTCGTACTTTGGGAGAATGATGTCCACATTGTGGTTTAACTCTTGAACAGCACGAGACAGACTAGTCAGCACATCACCAAGTCCTCCAACCTGCAATGACAACAATCTATTCAGCATAAATATATAAAAATGTACCTTACCATCTTCTACATTACTGGAAGCATTGCACCAATTGCAGAAGTAACATTAATGGATTTAAGTTACCTTTGCAATAGGAGCCATTTCAACGGCAATATGCACAATATTCAACGGCGGCTCCTTTGCAATTCCTCCAATTACAGGGATATGGTAATCCATGCTATCTCTGTTGTCAAATATTCCACCATCTTCCTTCTCTGAGAACACAAAATCTATCATGTATGCATCCAGTGGAACCTTCACTGCAACCGAAAAACACAGGGAACTTATATCAACATAAGCAACTGCAATTAGCCATCTCACACAAACAAGTTGACTACCAAATATTTCCACTCTTCTGCAACAATCACTAGACAGGCAATTAGATCCAGTAAGTCCATTACCAGTGGTTTTGACATGAGAACCATCTTCAGCAGGCAACATTTTCTGAGGTGGCAATGGGCCCTTGCGGTGGGTCCAGCGATTAAACGAACCTCTGAACCAAACTTCAGATTTACCATTAAGTACCGTGTTTGCAGGATTGTAAAAAATCGTAACGGTGCTTCCAGCCTGAACATTGACTGGTTCCGTATAAAATATGTGCTTCTGAGACAGGAGAAACTTCTTCAGAGTTCTTTCCTTCATTTCAGCTTTCATGCGTTGTGTTTTCTCAGCCTATAGGAAAACAGTCGAACACAAGTAAACCATACTTGCCATGAGTGAGAAATAGAACTCAAGTAAAACTAAAATGATGTCAAACATATAACCTTGACACGTAGAGCTTCCTCTCTTAATCTCCTGTCTTCCTGTAGCTTCTTATATATATTGTCCTCTTCCTCTACCCAATACAAGTCTTCAGGAATACTGTTCGGAAGAATTGCATGGAAATCTTGGGAACGGTTATTATCATACATAGCAGCACTTTGTGGTGGACCATCAGCAAAGACCCAGTCTAAGACAAGGGCTCCTTCAGGAACAACAACTGCAGAAGATACGTTTTCTGAGTGAAACTAATGTCCCAAACTTTATTGTGGAAGGAGCAAATCATACTACTGGCAACTTAGTTTGAATTTGGACCTTCTAAAATTGACAAAGACACTCTGGGTCATGCAAATTGGAATACTGATGTACATGAAATAAAAGACCTACCATTAGCATACCACCATTCACCATCCTTTCTCTCAAAGTCGACAAGCTTTTGGACAATGGCTAATCCATCGCTCCAGTTGTTATGGCCACCATGTATCCAGAGGTCCTTGGAATGAGCAAGTGGACCCGAGCTTTTGTTATAGTACAATCTCACCATACCCTCTCCTTGAAACTCTCTGGGCTCCATGAACCAGACATTCTCAACTGATTTTACAGCCTTTTCCGTCATTTTTTGCAACAATTCACGCCTCTTTTCAACTTCTGCCTTTGCCTGAGCTCTATCAGCTTCCCTTGCAGCCTTCTCTGCTTCTATTAGGCGTTCTTCTTCAGCCTGTCTATCCCTCTCCGCTTTCTCCTCAGCAAGTCTCTCTAGCTCCCTCCGTTTTTCCTCGAGCAAAAAATCCTCAAATTCAAACTCATCCATCCCACCTTCCACTAGCACATAAAAATCCTTCTTGTTGTTGTTCTCGTACATATCTTTTCCATTGAAGAATACGAAGTCCATCTTATACGCTTCTTTAGGAACACGAATGCGGCAAGACCACCAATCCTCTCTCAGATCGGTTTTACTCAACCTGACAGTAAAAGACTTCCATTTCCAGTCATTAAAAGCTCCCATGATTAAAACTTCAGGCTGATTAACCAGAGTTGATAATCTCTTGTTTAGGAAGACCTCCACTTCTTGATCAGGTTTAACCACCTGTGGATAAAAAAACATTTTGACGCCCTCTGATAAGCTCCTATCAGCAAGCTTATCAACTTCTTGCCTCCGTAAGTTCTCTTCACTTTCCAATTTCAATGCAAGGAAAGCTTCTTCCTTCGCCGAGTCACTTGTGATATTATTTTCCTTTTCGTAAGCAGTCTCAATGCTACCAACACTTCCATTTTCTTCTACTGAACTTGTTTCATCAATAGTCAACTCTTTGTTGGCTTTAAATCCATCCTGCATTGTCTCAACTTCCTTCTTAGGTGGTTGCCCTTTCGGAGTGCTTAGGGCGCTCATGATATTATTTTCCTCTTTGATAGTAGTCTCAATGCTCTCAGTGCTACCAACACTTCCTTTTTCCACTACTGGACTTGTTTCATCAATAGTCAACTCTTTGCTGGCTTTAGATTCATCCTGCATTGTCTGAAACTCCTTTTTTGGTGGTTGCCTTTTCGGAGTGCTTGTGGCGCTCATGCTATAATTTTCCTCTCCGGCAGTAGCCTCAATGCTCTCGATGCTACCAACACTTCCATTTTCGGCTACTGTACTTGTTTCGTCAATAGTCAACTCTTTGCTGCCTTTAGATTCATCCTGCATTGTCTCAAATTTCTTTTTTGGTGGTTGCCTTTTCGGAGTGCTTGTGGCGCTCATGCTATAGTTTTCCTCTTCGGCAGTAGCCTCAATGCTCTCGATGCTACCAACACTTCCATTTTCGGCTACTGTACTTGTTTCGTCAATAGTCAACTCTTTGCTGCCTTTAGATTCATCCTGCATTGTCTTAAATTTCTTTTTTGGTGGTTGCCTTTTCGGAGTGCTTTTGGCGCTCATGCTATTATTTTCCTCTTCGGCAGTACTCTCAATGCTTTCAATGCTACCAACACTTCCATTTTCCGCTACTGTACTTGTTTCATCAATAGTCAACTTTTTGTTGGCTTTCGATTCATCCTGCATTGTCTCAACTTCATTTATTGGTGGTTGCCTTTTCGGAGTGCTTGTGGCGCTCATTCTATTATTTTCCTCTTCGGCAGTGGTCTCAATGTTCTCTATGCTACCAACACTTCCATTTTCCACTACCGTACTTGTTTCATCAATAGACAACTCTTTGCTGGCTTTAGATTCATCCTGCATTGTCTCAACTTCCTTTTTTGTTGGTTGCCTTTTCGGAATACTTGTAGCGGCAGGTGTCTTTGGCACGAATCCCTTTGGTGCAGGGGTTTTTGCCCTTCCATTCGACAACTTTCTGGGTCTTTTTTTAGGAAAGTCTGCATATAAGCAGAGCTCAAAGAGTTTCTAAGAACATTCTGGATTCAACAACAAAAGTTTTAGCTGAGCAGCATTATGTTGTAAAAGAGCAACTCACCTCCACTGGAAGTAATTTTCAACGAGAACCCAGATGATGATGATGGAAACTCATTGCACCAAGCTGCAAGCTGAAATCAAATACAATGTAGTGAAAGCCAATTGAATAATGCTCTAAAAGGAGGGAAAGGCAAACCCCCCCTCCCTTTGCTTTTCTGCAGAAAGATGTGATTCATTTAGCATGATTTTACAGCAATCATATGAAACGCATATATAACCATGAGCTTCATGGAGCTTCCCTGTCTGGAATTAAAGTTCAAATGTGGAGGGAAAAGGATAGCAAATCCCTACCATTTCAGAATCAGAAAAGCAAAGGGCCCCAAATGGGGAAAAGGGGAACAACAAAAAGCGACCCTAAACAGTGTAAGATGGGGGGAGAAAAAGACTCTTACACTAACGAGACGAGTGGCTGCTCCATTAGGGAAAGACCCAGAAGAAAAAGGTCTGATCTTGAAGCGGGTTCTCTCGCGAAACAAAGCTCTGCATGAAGTGAACGGGCCCTGCACTTGCATACCCACTTCCATGGCGGACGCCGACGGTGGTGGTCGTTGCCGTTGAAGAAGAAACGAGAGAAGATGTGATCCTGCCTCTTTCTGCTGCTGAATTTCTCAAATCTTTTTGACTTTCAATCAAGCTTCGATCTTTCTCTCATTCTCTCGGGGACTGCATTTCATAAAAAAAGAGCGAGCTTTTTGCTCCCTTGAAATTCCGGGAAAATCATTAAACAAAACAAACCCTCGAAACAAACATTATTCTTCTTGTGCAGAGAATTGCAGCCATAAGCGTCAACTACTGGGTTTTCTCGTTTTCCCTGGCTACAAAGGCGTGCGGACCAGATATTTTAGATAGTATTTTTGTAACTCCTCCGATTAAGATGCCTCAGGCTTTGCATTTGAGCCGTCGGAAATTAGTTTCGTTGAGAGATTTTGTGTTTCTTTTTCGGAGGTCTTTTGACGGTGGAAATGAGTTTTTGATTGACAACCGGCTGGGATGTAGCGGATTAGGCAGAATTCTTTTTCTTTTTCTTTTTCAACGGGTTGTTATTGAGGGGGGAAAATGTAAGGCTAACATGGATCAAAGAAATATTTAAATGCACATGTTGAAATAAGTGAATCTAGAAAATGACAAATATCGATGTGACTCGAATCGTACTATCTAACTACAACTGGAAGTTATGGGGTCTCGTAGCGCGATCAACGAGTGGGGTCCAGGCCTCCAGGGGCAACACTCCGGTGAGGGGGAGTGATGCTTCCCTTGATTCACGGTATATGGGCTCAATGTTATTTGAGTTTCTGTTATGGGTCTGGTCTGTAACCATTTTCCATTACCATATTGGATTTCGGATTAGATCGTTTTTCTTTGGCAGGTTGTGAAGAGGATCTTTCGATGCGTGAAGGGTACATCTGATGTGGGGATTAGCTTCAGAAGTGATACAGAGCGCTTAGCGGCTGGTTATTCATATTCTTATTATGCTGGGAGATGTTGACATGAGTAGATCGATGATCGGTCATGTATTCACTCTTGAGAGTTCTGTGGTGACCTGGAAGGCAACTTTATAGTTGAAATACATCGTCTACTACTGAAGCAGAGTACATTGCGTTGATAGAAGTTGCTTAGGAGGGAATATGGTTGAAGGGGTTGGTTGGTGATCTGGGTTTACATCATGATCATGCAATGGTGTATTGTGACAGTTTGAGTGCAATATGCTTGGCCAAGGATCAAGTCCACCATGAGAGGGCTAAGCACATCGAAGTGACGATTAAGGACATAGAAGAGGATTAAGGTGAAGAAGATTGACACTGTGGACAATCCTACTGACATGTTCTCGAAGTCGCTTACACATGGCAAGTTCCGACACTGTTTGGACTTGCTGAATGTTCTGAGTGGGTGAGTCTGGCAGTCCGCTGTAAGGGGCATTGATGGCAGGAAGGAGATAAGGATGAGAGTACATAAGAGATTTTAGAGGAAGATGATTCGAAGTGTGGAGATTTGTAGATTTGACTTGAGTCAGACTATCTGGCTAGACTGTAAGTAGGGATGTCAATCCAACCCGTAACCATGGGTAACCTACCCGACCGTAACCGGTCAACGAGGGTAATTACCCGCTTTGACGGGTTAAGGGGCGGGTACGGATAATACCCGGTTTCAAAATAAAGGGTAGGGTACGGGTATGGTAATCGATAATACCCGCCCCGTTATACCCGCCCCGCTAACCAAAGGGTCAATTTCCCTTGAGAAATTTAGTTTAGCTTGAGAAATTTAGTTTAGCTACTATTATTGATATGATGAAGATGTAGACGATTATTATGTTTGTGTGGATTGTAGAAGCAAGAACAATTATTATGTTTTTGTTGTTTTTATTTGTGTGGATTGTTGAAGCTAGAACAATTAGAAGTATTGAGAAATTTTAATGGACAACAATATGTATATATGTGCGTATATGTGTATAAGTTCATAGTTTAGGATTCGTACCCATGGTTACCCGAATACCCGTGGTTACCCGGTGGGTAGGGTATGGTTATATAATTTTCATACCCGGTGGTTATTTGGTCGGGTATTTTAGAAGGCTCTACCCGGCGGGTTAGGAGTTGGTATAGGGTAAACCCGCACCCGACCCTACCCATTGCCATCCCTAACTGTAAGTCACGGGGGTCTCGCTGTCCGGTCAGGGAGTGGAGTCTAGGGGCAACGCCCGATCAAGGGGAGCGATGTTTCTCGATCCAAGGTGTATGGGCTTAATGTTATTTGAGTTTCTATTCTGGGCCGGTCTGTAACCATTTTTCTTTACGATATTGGATTAGGGTTAGACCACATGGAGAATTACTATAAAGGACGAGTGAACATAGTTTGGAAGCCGATTCAATAGTTGAAAGAAAAGCCATTGACCTCAAACTGAAAATCAGAAATACAAGATGACTGTTCACAAGGTGGATTAACTCATAGGCCACCATAAGATATCACCTACAATGGTGATGACATAATGGCAGTGGGTTGGGACAGGTACTTCAACACTCATATCAATACTACATTAAGTGAATATTAGGTTGATCAATACTACGGTTGGACCAACCAAACTAACCAATAACCACTACTCCGATCAAACGCGAATCAGCACAACCAATCGGAACACTCCGCGCCAAAACCACTCACAGCACAAAAAACTGGGCCGAGGAAAAGCCCACTAATTAAACAGTTGAAGCCTTGAGGAACACAGAAATAGAACTTAGCCCAATCCAAACTCTTAAACCTGGTCCATCAAGAAAGTTACAATTTGGCCATAAACAGTTGAAGCCTTGAGGAACACAGAAATAGAACTTAGCCCAATCCAAACTCTTAAACCTGGTCCATCAAGAAAGTTACAATTTGGCCATTTTGCATAATTTCATTAATACTCATTTAGTTATACAGTCTCCCACATTACCCCACAAAAGTAATATAAAAATGCAAAACTAAAATCTCATAACTAATTGAGTTTTTCTCCTTTTTACCTACACAAAAACAGATTAACAAGTAGAGAGCTCTGCTTATTTCTTTTTCCCCCCTTTGTTCCGATTACACAAGAGCATCGGCTCCGGCGACGATCTCTAGAATCTCGCCGGTGATCTTGGCCTGCCGCCGCCGATTATAAACATTCGACAGCGTCTTCTTCAGCTCCGAGGCATTATCCGTCGCGTTGCTCATCGCGCTCATCCTCGCGGCGAGCTCACTCGCCAGCGATTCCTGCAGCGCCTTGAGAATCTGGCTGTTCAGATACAGGGGAAGCAGAGCATCCAAGATCTGAACGGGATCCTGCTCGAATTGCAGAATCGGCGAAAAATCAGGAGTCGCCGTCCTCACGACATCCCTCTCCACCGTCAATTTCCCTTCTTTGGTCGTCAGCCGGAAGAACTCATCCTCCGCGGCATCGACGCAGATTCCGTTGATGTCGCAGATCTCTCCCTTGGGGGAGAGCGGGAGCAGAGTGTGAATCACGGGGTCCGATTTCACCAGGGAGACGAATTTGGTGTACAGAAGCTCGACCTTGTCGACTTCCTCGCTCACGAAGAGGGAGAAAACATCGTCGGCGATCGCCTGAGCTTCTTTCGCCGTCGGCAAATTCGTCCCTTCCTGAAACCGGTCCACGGGGATGTACGGACGGCGGGTGAAGTAAGTGTTCCCCTTTTTCCCCACGCTGATCAGGGTGAACTCGATCCCCAGAGCCTTCAATTCCTTCATCCGATTCTCTGCCTTTTTTAAAATCTGATTGTTGAACCCGCCGCAGAGCCCTCTGTCTCCGGTGACGACGACGAGGGCGACTTTCTTGACCGGACGGACTTTGGTCAGCGGGGCATCGACGTCTTCGGTTTGGAGCTGCTCGTTGATGTTGTAGAGGACTTCGACCAGTGTCTCGGAGAAAGGGCGGCCGTTGACGACGGCTTCCTGGGCGCGACGGACTTTGGCGGCGGCGACGAGCTTCATGGCCTCGGTGATCTTCTGGGTGTTCTTGACGGAGTCGATTCGGGTCCGGAGCTCTCGGAGGTTGCACTGAACAGGGGAAACAGAGGTGGGTCTGGAGGTGGAAGAAGGAGAAGATGCAGGGGAGTTGGGAGATGGGATTTGGAATGGGGAGATGGAAGAGCGGAAGGAGAGTGAGGAAGCGTCGGAGAGAGCTGAGTTCGAAGACACCCACATAGTCATATTGGAGCAGGCCATGGCTAAAGTTGAAGAAGAAGAAGAAGAAGAACAGGGGGGATTATGAGGGAGATGGAAACAGAGTGGCGGAAAAACAGAGTGGTGGAGGAAGCGGCAATGGAGGGCTCTGTTCTTTTGTTTGTTCGATGAGAGAGTGATGTGAGGAGGGAAAGGGGAGAAAGGGAAATGAGTGGAGGGAAAGGAGATGAGAGTTTTGAGAGGATGAGGTTTTGGGGATAAGGATTTTGACTCTTTGGAAGATTGCGCCGTCTCTATCTCCCTCTTGCTTGGCAATGGGCGTCCAATTGGGATGCTTTTTCTCTGATTACTTGTAATTCTGTTTGCCTGGTGGCGCCAAAAGTTAAAAAAAGGATGAAGATAATAGAAAGAATGGGATTTTATGGGTGATCCAAATATCGATTTGATCCATGCAATCCTAAAATATTGCTTCAAACAAGTGAGATTGAATGAATCAAAGACGAACTTGTACAATCTTTAGGCATGGCCATGGGCCAGCGCCCAGCAGCCCACAGGTAGACTGGCCGGTTGGTGGCAAACAGTCTCTCTATCAATGTGCTTCCTGCCCCAATTCAAGCACATTTTTCCAATGGAGGACATAACATTGATTTCACCTACCGTAGTTTTGCCTTCATGGTCCCTGCCTGCATCTCGTGACTGAATCTGAAAGCAACTTAGGCTAGCACTTCTGAAGTGATGGTTCACTGTGTCAGTGTCACAACTAAGGTATCAAAACCATCCCTTTCACCCAAGAATCGAGATGTTACATTCGTCCCATATTACAGCAGAAGCTTTGAAAGAGATAAGAGACAGTCGTATAAAATACGTTCTCAATCGTCTAAAGATGCACAAAATCTGCTGAAAACAGCACCACAGAGAGTGTATGCAGCTATCATGACATTCCCTCCCAAACAAAAGCCTTGGCACCCATCTCGACTTGCCCCCCGTCGAAAGATTACATCAAAGAATGGAAAACTCGAAAGCAAAAGATATGCACACAGAACATCATCGTACGAACGCAAACTCGAAACAAAGACATCGGCTTTTTGTTTTCCATCCAATGAGTAACATACCTCAGCTTTAGAAAAGCTTCGCTTGAACTTCGGCTCCTCCACTTCTCATCATAACACAGAACTCCTCGTAGTTGATCTTCCCATCCTGTTAATGCACGTCACATGCTGTTCAGTAAGTCACTGAGCGAGATAAAAATTGCAGTAAGAGAGTTGTTAGTACGAAACGGGAGGTGAACTCACATTGTCTGTATCGACTTCAGCAATGATCTCCTTGATGCTGCCTTCATCCCCTATTCCGTATTCCAACATGGCACCTTCCAGTTCATCTCTCGTTATGTACCTGAGCATCATCAGTAGTAGGGCGAGCAGGTTGTAGGTTTTCATTGTTTGAGCTATGGACAAGTGCATCTAAAGTTATATGGCACAGCATTTGAAACGTGCAAGAGTTGGGGGAACTCACCCACTGCCATCCTTATCGAAGTGCTGGAATGCTTTGTACAAATGCTCGTCCCGTTCAATCTTGTATCTGTGCATCGTTGCAGAGATGAACTCGGTGTAGTCAATTGTTCCATTTCCATCCACATCAGCCTAAGGACAAGCAATACGAAGGCATTGAATATTAAAAGAAAGGTAGTCAGGAAAAAAGAATGTAAGTATTTTTGGTCTTCTTCTATGGGACTTACAGCTTCCATGAGTTGCTTAACCTCAGTTTCAGATAGCTTTGATCCTAATCGAGCCAAACCAGTCTTCAGTTCTTCATATGTAATGGTACCACTCTTGTCCGTGTCCAAGCTCATGAACGTTGCTTTGAGACCCTGGATCTCTTCTTCGGAAAGATTCTCAGCAATAACCTAGGAAAGCAATTCTCGCATTTACTTCTAGCATACTGAAACTAATTCATTAAGGAATATCATAGCTTTCTGTTTGCTTGCTTGGTTTTCTCTTTACCTTCAAGGCAAGCTTCTTCATGTTATTCATAGCCCTGAACTGCTTCATTCTGGAAAGGACTGCACTACCAATTGGTTTATCTGATGCTGCACCACCCTTGATCCATGGATGCTCTGAAAGATACAGAACCGTTACAATTGCAAATCAATCAAGAGAATGCCAGATAAAAAGAAACCAAGCAACCATTCCAGGGTGTGTTTCATACCAAGCACTTGTGCAGAAGTTAAACGCTTTTTGGTGTCTTGAGTGAGCATCTTCCTAATCAGATCCTTGGCACTGTCAGATATAATCGGCCAGGGATCAGTCTCGAAATCAATCTCTCCTTGGAGAACGGCATCAAATATTCCCTTCTCATTTTCTGCAATGAAAGATCAATGAGGATCAACAACAGGAAGAGAGAGAGAGAGAGAGAGCAGATACTATAAGCATATTCTGAGCATTTGACAAATGGGATTGCTTTACCTCCCCAAAATGGAGGCACACCACTCAGCAGAATATACAAGATAACTCCTGCGCTCCAAATGTCAATCTCTTTCCCATAGCTACGACGCAAGACTTCAGGAGCCACGTAGTACGCACTGCCTACTATGTCTCTATAAACTTTGCCTGCAATAGTTTTGTGATCAGAACATCAACACTAAAAGGAACATTTCTAGCATCATTGCAGCGCACGAAACTCAAAAACACCATTGATAGAATAGAACAGCCAATTACCCTTCAATTCTAGCCCAACAATACTCATCAATCATCTCCTAAGAACACAACTTTTCGTCATGATAACCAACTTTTCTCAAATCATAATGATATAGCATAGCAGTTAAAGCAACCCAAGTGGATTTCCCTCTACTTAACAACTCGAATTGTTCGAAATAAACCGATTCTCTACCAATTTCATGGACTAATCAGTCCGACCCAACAACCATTTTATTCAAAGTTCAACCCTTTTTCACAAAATATACCAACCAAAACCCAAAACATAAGCTAAGGATGAAGAAATTTCCAATACCTTCTTCAACGAACACCGAGAGTCCAAAATCAGTAGCCTTCAGGGTCGCCGCTTCATCCTTAGAGCTCAGCAAGAAATTCTCCGGCTTGAGATCCCTATGCAAGACCCCCATGAAATGACAAGCGTGGACCACATTCACAACCTCCCTGCAAATCTTCGCCGCATCTTTCTCCGAGTAATGCCCCTTGGCAATAATCCGATCGAACAGCTCCCCGCCGGCGCAGAGCTCCATCACCAGATGGACCGACAGCCTGTCCTCATAACAGCCCCTGAACTCCACAATGTTGGGCTGACCGGACAGGTGCTGCATAATCTGAACCTCCCTCTTCACATCCTCCCTGTCGCTCTTGCTCGTCAGCTTCCTCTTCAGTATCGATTTGCAGGCGTAGGTCTGGCCGGTGGAATTCTCCGTGCACAGGTAAGTAATCCCAAATTGGCCCCGACCCAGTTCTTTACCCAGCGTGTAGAACCGCCTGATGTCCTCAAATGGCTTCCCCAGGATCGTGTCCCCCGCCGCCGGCTTCGCAGCGGGCCTTGCCGGAGCGGGAGCTGGTGCCGGTGGTGCTGGTCGCACCGGCGGCGGCGGCGGCTGATGGTGGTGGTGCTGGACGGCGGCGGATTGGTGGTAGTGGGTGTTGTTAGAAGGATGAGGAGGAGGTGTGTAGCCATTGAACTGTGGCTTGGAGGGAGAGTCTTCTCTGCTGCTGCAACATCCCATTTTTTCCCTCTTTCCTTATTCGGGAAAGATTGGAGATTGGGATATGGGGTGGATTCGGATTGGGCTGAAGAAGAAGGACGAAGAAGAAAGGGGGAATTTTTGCTGTTTTGGGGAGAGTGGTTTGCCTTGGGGAAGGTACTCTGTGAAGAAGGAGATTAGTAGGAAACGGAGAAAGTTTGATGTTTGTTTGACTCTTCTCTAATATTTCAGCTGAAAACCAGCAGCCGATTGATTACTTTTCTTCTTTCTGTTATTTTTTTTCTAATTATCCTCCATTGATTTCTTTTTTTCCAAGTTTTTGGTTGGTGAAATCGACACCACAGTAGTAACGACACAGTGACAGACAGTCCTTTTATCTTGTCTTTGTATTAGTACTTAGTACTATGGTCTTAGTTTTCAATTTTGCTTCTCATTGAGTAGGGTACCTGTTATAAACGCGCTGCTACGGATCGGGAAATCGCCGGAATCGACAAAGCAAGAATACGAAAGCGAAAATCGAAAGAACACAGACACACGATTTACGTGGTTCACTAACACGATGTGTGTTAGCTAGTCCACGGGCGAGAGAGAGCCAGTTTCACTATATCGAGGAGATTACAGATTACAGAGGAGTATGAGAAGTATTTATAGTACTTGCCCCTGGACCCCACTCGCTGACCGGGCAGCGAGACCCCCGATTACCAGTCGTAGCGGCTGATAGTCCGATTCAAGTCATATCAACAAATCTCCACCTTGACTTGAATCCTCTTCCTCTGAAATCTCTGATGTACTCTGCTCCTTCTCTCTCTCTCTCGCCATCAATGCCCCGTAGGGCGGAGTCACCCACTCAAGACATTCAGCAAGTCCAAGTAGTGTTGGAACTTGCCATGTGGAACCGGCTTCGTGAACATATCAGCAGGATTATCCGCGGTGCCAACCTTCTTCACCTTAATCCTCTTCTCTGTCCTCAAGAAATGATACCTCACATCGATGTGCTTAGTCCTCTCATGGTGGACTTGATCCTTGGCCAAGCATATTGCACTCAAACTGTCGCAATACACCACTGCCTGATCATGATGTAGACCAAGATCACCAACCAGTCCCTTCAACCATATTCCCTCCTTGGCAGCTTCTGTCAACGCCATATACTCTGCCTCAGTAGTAGACAATGTCACCGCCGACTGCAAAGTTGCCTTCCAGCTCACTACAGAACTCCCAAGAGTGAATACATAACCAGTCATCGATCTCCTTGTGTCAACATCTCCAGCATAGTCCGAGTCAGAATACCCAGACACCAAGCACTCTGTATCACTTCCGAAGCTAATCCCCACATCAGGTG